GCTCAGGACTCTCGATTTACATCAACACCTGCAGGTGGCCACAGCAGCTTGAGAAACACGCTTCACCTTCTTGATCTGGACAATACCACTTGGATCTTGACCAAGTGGTAACAATATGAATAATTTAACTGGGTTTCAACAGTAAGTCTCAATTTGTGTGCACACTAGGGGGAAGTTTTGCCAGCTCTCCCAGGTACCACCTCAGCTCTATTAAATTAATATATTTAGGATTAGGACACAAGAAAGCATGTTTTAGAAGAGCTCTCAGGTGTTGGTCTTATGCCCACTGAATTAAAAGCAAAGTGTACTAAAGGGCTCACCTTATTTCATGCTGTGAGTTCTAGACATTAAAGAAGGAAGACATACCAATGAATTGCTAATTTGTTTTTGTTTGTACCTTTGTTCCTAAATCTAATCAATTGTTAAGTAGAACTGTCTTGATTATAACTATTAATGAGCAGAAGTATGCAGGCATTTCACACCTGGGAGCTAGTATAGCCCATCTTATTCACAGATAAAACCAATAATCAGGGCCAGTGGTCTTATTTAAGCAGTTATCCTTTTAAGAATACACTTGTAAACAGAAACATCATTTGTAGATTTTATTTCTTGCAGTAAAAACAAAGCATCTTCTAGTTTTAAACACAGTATGAGTAAAATACACTATTATCATGTATAACTCTTCCTTCCATTTAAAATGGATAGCTTAATTTATCTTTATTTGATTTCCTTCATCAAATATTGTCTATAGTTGTCAGGGACTATTTGAGGTATAGGGGATATAATAGTGAACAAAGACAAAAAATCTCAGCCCTCATGGAGCTTACGCTTAAATGGGAGGCAGATGATAACGAAATTAAACATATAGCGTGCTACACAGTGACAAATGCTAAGGAGAAATAGTCTGTTCAACAGACGTTTTAGTGGGAGTCTGCTGTGTTCCTGGCATTGTTAGATACACAGAAAAAAAAATCCCTGCCTTCAAAGAGTTTTTAATCTAATACAATTGCATGCTTATCAGGGAAATAATGGTAGTGATTAAATTCATAGAGAAAGGAAAGAGCTCCCCCAAACCGTATATATGGTACATATTGCTCTCTCCTTTGACGTCTCTGAACGTTTTCTTTAACTTTCCCTCTTGTGCAGTATGTCCCTTATGGCTCAAACCAGCATGGCTATTTTGTGTAACATGGAGGAATTATTTGTAAATTAATGGACTGTGCAGTTTACTTTTTATTCTCATGGCTATTTCTATTTTGACCAAGCATTTAGTCTTTGAAAGCTCCAGAGTTTTGAATACCAGTGTTAATTATCTCGAGATACGTGATGCTGATAAATGTGGCAGTTCAAATGTACCTCTGGTACAGTGGTGTTCAAAGTATGGATCACAGACCACAGTAGCTTCCGGTAAGGTGTTAAAAGTGCAAATTCTCATGGCCCCCAATCCTCAACTCACGTGCTGAATCAGAATCTTGGTGGGGGATGGGGGGAGGTAGGGTTAGGGAGGGGCCCCAGCAATCTGTAGCCACAAGCCCACTGTATTGTTTTTTTGTTTTGTTTTGTTTTTTGAGACAGAGTCTCGCTTTGTTGCACAGGCTAGAGTGAGTGCCGTGGCGTCAACCTAGCTCACAGCAACCTCAAACTCCTGGGCTCAAGCGATCCTCCTGCCTCAGCCTCCCGAGTAGCTGGGACTACAGGCAGGCGCCACCATGCCCGGCTAATTTTTTTCTATATATATGTTAGTTGGCCAATTAATTTCTTTCTATTTGTAGTAGAGATGGGGTCTTGCTCTTGCTCAGGCTGGTTTTGAACTTCTGACCTCCAGCAATCCGCCCTCCTCAGCCTCCCAGAGTGCTAGGATTACAGGCGTGAGCCACCGCACCTGGCCGCCACCATATTGTTTTAAAGTATGCCAAAGGCCGCCGCACTCTTACATTTCAGAAGTGTCCTAACTTGGATGTTCCCAGTGTTAATGCACGTCACTGTTAATGCGGGTTTTTGTCTTTATGAGCTCGTCTGCCTCTGTATGGGTCTTCCTCGCTTCTTTCTTTCAGTTCACCTTTCTACTTTTAGTCTCCTTTGCATAACAGGGAGCTAATATTATTTTGTTCTTACTAATAAATATGTCCTGCACTTAAGGAAGAATTTTGCATTCCCTTTTGTTAATTTTAGAAGCAAACATACATTTGTTATTAAGAGGTAAGATTCCATTGCTTTTAAATTTATGTTGCCCTTTGAGGTTTTGTGAGGTTTTTTTTTTTCTTTTTCTTCCACTCTCTCTAGCTGGAAAAATATTTGGGGAAAAGATTGTTAAGGGGATTGGAATGAGAGTAGTCATTTTTTTATTATTATAGTTTTTGCACGGTTTGAGCCTCGTTTTTCCCTCTTAATTATAAAAATTAAATAGATGGTTATATTTGGCCTGAATAGTAAGGAAAACCCTCCAGGTCATCATAGCGCTGTGTCTCGTTCTTCCCCCACCAGTATCCTGCCCCGCCCCATTGGCAGAGTCTCACGGACTGACAGAGCCTTCCTTCTGGTCATTCACTTTTGCTTTCTTTGTAGGTGTGTTTTTATCGGCAGATAACATACATACACAAAAAGGTGCAGGTCATAAGTGTACATCCAGATAAATCTTTACACCCAGGTGAATCATTACCCAGATCAAAAACTTAGAACACTCCTGATATCCCAACACCACTCCCTGCCCCCGTTCCCTCCCCAGCATGCACACCTCCTCGCCAAGGTGAACACAATCCTGAATCCTAAAATCTTAGACTAATTTTGCCTAGTTTTGGACTTTCCAGAAATAGTCATACCATATGTATTATGTTGTGTCTGGTGTCAACATCACGTTGGTGAGATTTCTCCATGTGTTGCAGGTAGTATCAGTCTGTTTCCATTGCTGTGTTATGTTTACATTGTGAGAACATACCACAACCCATTTATCCACTCTACTGTTGAACATTTGGACTGTTTCCAGTCTGGGATATTGACAATTCTTGTGTCCTTTGGTACACATATGTATGCATTTCTTTTTGAGTTTCTAGAAATGGAATATCCATGTCATAGGATAGACATATGTTCAACTAGAGCCTCTGAACTAGTTTTCCAAAGTGGTTGTAACAAGTAGCACTGTCAGCAGCAGCATATGAGAGTTTTAGTCACTTCACATCCTTTCTGGCCTTCGATACTATAAGTCTTTCTAATTTAGCCATTCCGGTGGGTGTGTAATTATGGTTTTAATTTTCATTTTCCTGGTATCTGATGATGTTGAGCACCAGTGTTTATTGGTCTCTTAGATATCCTCTTTTGTGAAAAACCTTTTCAGATCTTTGCCCGTTTTTCTTTTGGGTTGTCTGTCTTGTTGATTTTTAGGAGTAAGTTATATATTCTGGATTGGGGCATATTGTTGGATATATATTTTGCATATATTCTTTTGATGAATAGAAGTTCTTAATTTTAATGGGGTTCAGCTCTTTCCTTTTGATCCCATTAAACTGTCTTCTGCCTCTATCATAAAGGTGTTCTTCCATGTTATAGTCCAGGATTTTTTTTTCTTGGAGACTGGGTCTTGTTCTATCACCTAGACTGAAGTGCAGTGGCGTCATCGTAGCTCACTGCAACCTCAAACTTCTGGGCTCAAGTGATTCTCCTGCCTCAGCCTCCTGAGTAGCTGGAACTACAGGCGTGCACCACCACATCCAGCTAACTTTTCTATTTTTTGTAGAGACGGGGTCTCACTCTTGCTCAAGTTGGTCTTGAACTCCTGAGCTCAAATGATCCTCCCACTTCGGCCTCCCAGAGTGCTAGGATTACAGGCATGAGCCACTGCACCCGGGCAGGATTTTTAGATACACATTTAAATATACAGCACAGCTGGAATTCATTTTTGTGGAAAGTTTGAGGTGGGGTTGTCAAGATTCATTTTCACTGATACATATTATCTGAGGACTTTTTAATATTAGAATAGTTTCAGATTTACAGAAAAGTTACAAAGATAGTATAGAGAGTTCCCGTATATCCCTCACCCAGTTTCTCCTGTTGTCATCATCTTTCATCACTGTAGTACATTTGTCTTATAGTGATGCATTATCATCAACCACAGTCAATACTTTATTCAGGTCAGGACCACTGGTTTGTGATGAATGAAAGCGCACCATAGTAAGAGTCAGCTGTCTTTGGTCTCATCCCAACTGGAGAACTTAGTGGGACTCAGATAGTGTGAACCTGGCTCCTGTGAGACCACTGGTCAGGAAGCACAGAAATCCTACAGTTCAAGGCCCTTCAACTTTGTAGTCAACTGAAACTAAAACTCTCGTCCCCAGTTTTGAAAATTCTGCCTTTTTCAGTTCTGGACCACTTTTGAAACTCATGTGTTTTAGACTTTTTTAAGTCCCTTAGGTGTTAGTTTTGTAATCTTTAACAACATTTGAAATACAACAATGAACAGCTCTTTAGAGCCAATATTGATGCCAGATGCCATGGGCAGGGAGAACTCACTGTGCCCACTTGGCCGTGGATGGGAGTCTGGGATGCTGCGTCCCTGATTTGGGCAACTCCCCTTCCTCGGCTCGGCCCTGGAGAGTGTCACCGTGACCCCTAGTTCTGAGGAAGGCAAGACAGACAGCCACTGAGACTGCCAGACCTTTTACTGCTCTTTCTCCTATCTCTTGCTGCTTCTAGACTTCCCTGTGGCAAACGTCAGTGGTGCCAGTGTGTTTGAAAGTGTCCTCGATGATCTTAACTATTTTTACTTTTTAATTCAAAGTGCACACTAAGCCCTAGTGACCATCTGTCACTTGAGAGCAGACATTTAAATTATAGTGAGAGAGCAAGGAAGGCCAGCCATCCGTACTCATTAATATCTTATGAAAAATCCATTGTTGTTTAACCCGGCCAGCCCCCGTACCCTGAACAACACTTTCACAGCAGACGTCGTGACCCTGAGATGCACCATGCGCACGGGGTCATTCTGTCTTTGTCCTGCCTCTCCCCAGTACCATGAGCTCCCGACACTCTGCCAGCCCAGTGGTTTTCACCAGTGCCCGAAGTTCACCTAAAGAAGAGCTTCACCCTGCCACCGCCTCACAGCTCGCACCGTCCTTCTCCTCCTCCTCCTCCTCCTCTTCCGGTCCTAGGACTTTCTACCCTCGCCAGGGCGCTACTAGCAAATACCTAATTGGATGGAAAAAGCCAGAAGGAACCATAAACTCCGTGGGATTTATGGACACAAGAAAGTAAGAATTCTTTTGCTTCTCTTGCTGGGTGGCTTGCTTTTAACAGAAAAGGTTGTGGGGCAGTTTCTTACAGCGGAGGAAGCCAGGCTCAGGGGTGGGGACGGGGGTTGGTTTGGTGGGAGGGCTTTATTTCTTTTTTCCCTAAGTAAAATTTTCTTAAATTATTTCTCTGCGTCATTCCTTAAATAAGATGTACTGCAAAGCATTTGGATTTGAGAGTCTTAGATCTCCTAGAAAAGAGTGTGTTTGAAGGACGCACTTCAGAATAATTGACCCTCTGGTGCTAAGACCACACTAATCCATTTGATGATATTAATCACAGCCTTCGCATGTAATTCTTCTAAACTGGGCCAGGAGGCACCAGAGGGAATATTAGGAAGTGAGTGAGTACCCCTGAAAATAAAAGAGTTTGACAAGGGAGTACAGCAAAGAATTAAATGATCCGTTTCAATTATTTTGTTTCTGTTTGTACAAAGGTTGCATTTGATATTCTTACCCTGTGTCTTTTAGTAAGTCTGTTGCTAATTTTGGCTTAGTAGAACTAATAGTTTCCTATAAGAGTGATTTTATTCATCAGGTTTTCTCTTGTGTTCCAAATTGGTTTTGTTTCCTTAACAAGCATTCATTAGAGTAGATTCAGATGTATTATTAAACGGAAGTAATTCTCTTTTTCTCTCCTTTAATATTTCTCCATTGACCTCATTCTGTCAGAGCCTGTTGTGCCCTTGAGTCACCCTTGCTGACTCGGTTTCTACTATCTCTTCCCTTTCTTTGAAGGCGTCATCAGAGCGACGGCAACGAGATAGCCCACACCAGGCTGCGGGCCTCCACCAGGGACCTGCGGGCGTCCCCTAAGCCGACCTCCAAGTCCACCATTGAGGAGGACCTAAAGAAACTGATCGACCTTGAAAGCCCAACTCCTGAATCACAGAAGAATTTTAAGGTACAGGGCAGGGCTTGGGGTAGAGAGCCTCTAGCAGGCAGGCCTGAGGGGCTGTTTGCTGTAGTTACACCTTCCAGAAAGCACTGGCTGCTGGCTCCGCTGGCCGCCATCATCCAGCCTTCCTGATAAGTAGGACCCAGTGTTTTACAGGGCTCGGTCCCTGCAGCCACATCACTTCAGTCCTAGCTTCTCTTAACCTGTCCCTACCTCACAACTGTTTCTTTACCTGGTGTGTCTCTCAAAGTACATGATTCCTTGAACCTGACTTCCATGCCTTCACGTCTCGGAGCTCTGCAGACACCGTGGCACCCTCGTCAGCTAGAAAGTTGTCTACGAGTGCTCCCTCGACTCCTGTCCAGAGGGTTCTGCCCTTCCCACAAACGCCCCCAGCATGCTTCCTGCCCACAGTGCTCTGTGCTCTGGCCTGGCCTTGTTCCCTGACCCCAGCCGGCAAACCTCCTGGCTCTTCACTCAGAGGACCGGCCTGCCTGATGGGGGTTCATTCTTATCAACTACTCACTAGAATAAACAGTCAGATTCAGTCCAGCAAACTAAGTCTACACACACACCTTCAGAACTTCCCAGGTTCTCTTTCCTTCATAAAGCCTTTATGTCTCTCTCAGAATTCCAGACTATAAGTGCCTTCTCTAAAACCCAGTCCCCCCATCCTGAGCACTTGTTTAGCATGTGTGTTTAGCAGTGGCCAGACCTAGGTGTGACCACACAGAAAGGTTCACTCTGCTCTCCCCAGCCTGGAGGGGCTGGGAAACTTCCTTGTCCTCCAGCATGTGGAACCTTGGGCCCCTGGAGATAGAGTGGGTGTTTATTGACCTGGGCCTGAAGGTCTGTCGCTCTGAGCATAAGGCGTTTCTGCCTGAGGCGTACTGAGTAGCCCCAGCAGAAGGGAGTGCACCCCAGGAAGGTCATGGCAGGAAGCTTTGAAGTTTTCTGTTCTCTAAGCACTTTAGTCGGATGATTTGTAGTCTGTTTGAAGTGACTAGAAAGCTGTAATTTCTGAAGAACTTTGAGCATTGATTGCAAATGGAAGCCAGCATATTTCCTTAACCACTCACGTCTTCAGCTTGTGATCTGAGGGCAGGAGGCGTGCCGGGCGGAGCAGGCGCGCAGTGGTGTCGCCTCCATGCTCTCCCAATACCATTCTGGTGCGTGCGTGTCCCCCAGATAGGTGGGAAGTACCTCCTAAACTGAAAACCCAGCATTGACAGGAATCAAACGTAGCCCAGGGACCACTCCAGAGTTTTGCTGAGAAATAAATGACTTATTGACGTGATTTCTTATGTTAATAAATCATTTTTTAGATGTAGCCATTCTCAGTTTCTGTAAGTTCTGTTTCATAAGCTCACACTTAATGGTTCTGACTCATCATCCAGGGTACAAGTGGTTTCCTTAGCAACCCTGCAAAAGATAGTGCTTGAAACTTCTTTATCCATCAAAATATACCAAAGAGATATATTACAATTTTTAAGTACCACTTTCAAAATAAAAATTATTTCATATTTTTCCTTGGAGGTTAGAGGAAAACAAAATCTGCCCTGAAAGGAAATCTTTCCTCCAATTCCTACTGTAACATTTTTGGAGCTTTCATTCTTTTTATTTACTCATGGAAATATTTGAAGGCAAATGTCTGTTTTGCCCTTATTCCAGGACTTGGCTTTTATTTCCAGAATGAATTACTTTAGCATTCCTGTTTGAAACCAGGTGCACTTTCGTTCTGTTGTGCATGTATTACGGTGAGACCCTCGGCAAAGAAAGTGCTTCTGCTGGCTGAACCCTCCCCTTCAGAAGGCTGGAGGCAGGCACCGTGGGGGTAGGCTGTTCTCTCTCTCCAGTTTCATACTCCTTGAACTAGCTGGTTTGGCTGCAGCTAGTTCTGCTATGTAGCTCCATGAGTCTTCTGAGGGTGATCGTCTGAGTGGCGGTGGCTCTGCTGTGTCAGTAAGGCCATTGTGCCCCCAAGAGCTCTTCCAGGCTGCTTCTGACTCAAGGCTCCAAGCCACTGCATCCGGCTCCAGGGTGCAAGGCCTGGCCAGATTTAGGCCATCAAACTAGGAGCCCACCCCCACACCACAGTGGCTTTCTTGGATAGCCAGTGCTACCACCAAGCTATGGTTAATATTAAATAGCAGGGTCACGCCAGGCCCGTCTGCCAGCAGAGCAAGGTGTCGGTGTCTGCTGCAGGACATGGCAGGGCTCCGATGGGCAGGCTACAGGTGGTGGCGACAGGACTCCAGGCAGCTGCCATGGAGCTCCTGCCGCAGAACAATGGCAGAGCTGTAATGACCTTATTTTCCACAAGGGCAGCGTACGATCTGCAGGACCTACCTAGTCTTATCCAAAAGCACTGGGGCGGCCCCTCACCTCTTCAACTCCAGTCTTAAAAGTGTGCACACCTACCTGCCTCCTGAGATCGTCCCATTTCTGCCTGGCAGGTGCTGTCAGCGTACGATCTGGCAAGTGAACAGACAGTGGCACAAACCATTAGTCCTACTTTCCGGCCAGGTCTCTCAAGTATGGACCATGGGAAGAGGCTTCATATGGCTCCAGTGTTTAAGAAGAGCTGCTTGTGAATGCAGCTGACACTTGTCATTGATAGCCAGGAGCGCTGGAAGAGTAGAAGGAGACTGATGCGAAGCAAGATGCCACCTCTCCAGGCTGTGAATAGGGTAGATCAGTGGTGCCCAAATGGTTTTAAAGCTCAGGAACCTTTTTTTTAAAAAATCCCACAGGGAAGCCCAAGATATAGAACTGAGAAAGAGTTTCTCTGGTGGGCTGCTGGGTCTGGGTCCCAGCGGTGGCGCTGTAAGGACTCCTGGCACTCCTTGGAGCAGGTTTAGAGCCACCCTCCTTCCTGGATGGTCTCTGAAGTTCCTTCCAGGTCTGCCACCCCACTCCTCTGGCATCATTTCCCAGGGGCTGACAGCACCTGCCAGGCAGAAATGGGGCGATCTCAGGAGGCAGGTAGGTGTGCACACTTTTAAGACTGGAGTTGAAGAGGTGAGGGGCCGCCCCAGTGCTTTTGGATAAGACTAGGTAGGTCCTGCTACCTTTTAATGGGCAGGTTACTGCCTCCCTTTAGTAGAGTCTGTTGTCACCTTTGATAAAGCACATGCTCGAAGGGTCTCTGTTTACTGCCTTGAGGTATATTAATATTTCCCAAAGAGGCTGAAACTAGAATTGGTGGAGAATGTCTCACCGTAAAACCATTAGGGTGGGGATACTTACTGGAAAAGGAAATCCCTTTGCTAAAACCAAAGGTGCTAAAAAAGATTTGGCAGCAGTTTTTGAACACAGAGGTCTGAGATGGGCTGGTAGGCAGGAGGCTATGTGATAGAACTTTGCAGATAGAGGAGAGATTAACCTCTCTAGTGCTTACTCTTCTCCACAAAATGAGAAAGAACGTCACTTCCACACCAGGTTTTCCCTTGAAAAGTTTTTATCACAGCAGCTTAGCTTTCTAGACAAGCACATATGTGTATACCTTGGATTTAACTCATTGTAAATTTTTAAAAAGTAAATACAACTTTTACTCAATTGGTTACACATTGGGCTTATTTACAATGCGTTTGGCAAATGATTTTTTCCTACTAGCGCAGCAGCTGTGCACACCACATTGGGGGTAGCTTGAAATTGATTAACCCTTGGCTTGCTGGACGGCAGCAGCTAGACCCAGAGCACATGAATGGCCCTGAGTGTCGACTCTGCATTTCTGGGTCTGTAATCAGCCTACCAAATCGAGCTGTCGCCACATCGTTCTCTCTGCACCTTCAGAGTGTCACGGGAAGTCCCACGGTGGCTGTCTGCCAGCAGTGACTCAGCCCTCCTCCTCACACCTTCACCTGTTCTGTCACAGCGAACGTGGCCTCAGTTCTTTATTGTTAAAGGGCCAGATACTCTATTGGCTTTCAGGTTGCCGGACATTTAAATATTGTTAACGTGTCTGTTGTTTCTCAGTGAAAGGGCTTCTCAGAAGCTTGCTATGTACAGAAAAGCAAAAGGCATCAACAAGAGATACATCTGTCTGGAACTACTTGTCATTTATGCATAAACATATAAATATTTGTCATTTGTAAAGCTGACCTCTCTATTCTTATTTCATGAGTAGAAACGCACCTTCAGATTCTCTCCAACACCCATGAAATACATCTACCTCGAGAGGTTCAGTGGATGTAACTTAGTAGTAGCTGTTTGTCAAGAGCCACCTATTATCTGAGTTAATATATTTTGGGGGTCAAATGCTCTTGTTGCCCAGCAAACACGTTATCAATTGACAGGGTTCCATGGATGTCCCCCGAGCTGTGACATTATTTCGTCATGCTGCTGGCACACACTTGTGATCAGTCTGGCATCTCACTTGACCCTCATGAGAACCCTGAGGGGTGGTGCTGTGCCTCTTTCTACAGACTAGGAATTAGGCTCAGAGAGACTCTGGTTTGGTAGGAGATGCAGGATTCAAGTAGAACTGACATTTGTCTGATTCTAAAGGCTATTCTTAACCACAGCATGATACTGGTAAATCCACTTAATGGCATGTCTGAGTATGCAGCACTGATGGGCAGGGGCAGCCTGGGGACTGTGGGAAATAACATTGGGGCGCTCCTGTTGCAGCTCCTGCAGGTGTAGAAGTAGGTGGTGGGCCTGAAGGTTCCTTGCTGGAGCGCCAGAATTCAAGGGGCACTTCAGGAGCAGGGACTTGGCTACCCTTCCCTACCTTCCCCTGCCCAGCTGAGGTCTCAGGTGTCTGAGCCAGAAAACTGACTTGCTCTTGTCTCCACACTGTTTTTCAGTTCCACGCGCTGTCGTCTCCCCAGACTCCTTTCCCCACAACCCCCACCTCGCGGCGGGCCTTGCACAGGACGCTGTCGGACGAGAGCATCTACAGCAGCCAGAGGGAGCACTTTTTCCCCTCGAGGGCTTCGCTTCTGGACCAAGCCCTGCCCAACGATGTCCTCTTCAGCAGCACGTACCCTTCTCTCCCCAAGTCTCTGCCGTTGCGGAGGCCGTCTTACACCCTGGGGATGAAGTCGCTGCATGGTAAGTGCACTTGCAGCTGCAGCTGCACAGCCCCGTTGGGGATGGCCTGTGTCCCCGGACACGGCTGCCAGACTCGTGATCAGAGACCGGTCCCTGGAGGAAGTCCTGCTTCTGTGCTTAGATCATCTCTGCTCACCACCACCCCCCACCCCGTGATCCCAGACCACAAGAGTCACCTGGATGTCTTTTAAACATACAGATTCCCAGACCTTACCCAAGACCCACAGAATTGGAATTTTCAAAGAGTCTTCTGGGAATTGCTATTCTTACCACCCATCCCAGCTACTGTTGGGATGGAGCAAATTTGGCTAACACTACATTAGTTATTCCTTACAGAGTGGTAGCCACTGCTTCCTGCATCCACGATCAGAACCCAAACTTGCCATTGCTCTGTCTCTCCCAGGCAGTAAGGACATTGCCTGTGGTGTCAGCCACTCATTTGCTGATTCATTCATTCATTGAGCAAGCATTATTTAAGGAAAAGGCACCTCCGTGTTCCTGCCCTTGGTTCATAGATGCCATGTTTGTTCTGTGACCCAACTAGATACCACATTTATTAAGGTGTTCTGGGACTCTGGATTTAAATTTGGTCTTTTCCTCCTGCAAATTCTGCGGCAGTGTTTCTATCTTGTGCATCTTCCCTTCATGCCCACATTTTTTTTCCCTTCTGCCACTTTTCTGGAGCAGTGTTTTCTTTCAGTCTCCTGTTTGCCCTGCCTTATTTTTTAGCTCAGCCCACAGCGCTCCTTATCCCCATCCTGTCCTGTGGCACAGTCCCCTTCTCCCCTCCTGGCCCTGGCAAGGGCCAGGCCAGCTTTCCCTGCTCCCTCCCCCATGCACCTGCAGCTTAAATGGGCTTTCTCTTTGCCCTAGGAAGTCGCCCCCAGTGAACCAAAGTTGACACATGAAAGTACCACTCGTTACCATCAGACTCTAGAAAAAATCTCCTGCAAGTGATCTAATATGCCCTAACCTTTTTCTCCCCTTCTTGCCCTACATCAAGGCCACTTCTCCCTGAATTACATCACCACTACAATTGCCTACATTGCTTCTCTCATTTCCCTACACTTTTAATCTTACCTTTGCAGGGATAAAAATCACCCCTTGTGAAGTCGCCCCTGCCTGCTAAAGGCTTACATTCCAAGAGACAGCCTGAAAATGTGCCTGCGACAGAGTCATTGTCCAGCTGAGAAGGCCTCGGGTGGCCCCAGGGCGCTGTGGAGAGGAAGGGAAGGAACAGGCAGGCAGCCCTCTCCTGTCACCTCCCCTGCTCTCCTGAAATCAGGCAGCAGCTGTGGTGACTTCATGTCCTAACTCTTGAGATCCAAGCCTTGTTTGGTGACATCCACTGAAGATGGGGAAGGGTGACTTTTTTCTTCCCCACATGGAAATTTGTGCCCCAGAGCTAAAAGGCCAGAAGGGTGTGAGTGACACACAGAATTATCTGTTCCTCCTACTTACCCTTGGTGGGAACAAGTTTAAATAGAACTGAACATTTTATGTCTTGCAGTATTTGTTGACTTCCATTTACTCATAATTTTGCTAATTTTAAGCACATTAATAACTAGCAGCTGCACTTCAGAGCAGTTCTTGACATAATTTGAAAGGGAAAACAAGCACTTAATATACTCTGGCTTACCAGGCTGTCATAATAGATGAAATTTTTTAACTCCTTGTAATCAGGTATTTCTAGAATCACTTATAGATTTTATCCGAGAGAGTTTTGCTTTTGCATGATTTTGATGTTACAGGCACATTCTGAGGGCCATCCTTCTCATGGAATTGCCCACTCTGCCCTGTTTCACCCAGCTTCTGCCAATGGAGGATGCTTGCATTTCGTGAGCTGTGTCTTCCTGGCTCCCACTCGCCTGCCCTTTCTGTGGTTCACCTACACAAATCTGAGCAGCGGCAGCGTGCCCTGGGGTTCAGTAAAGGCTAGTAGTAAGGATGTCAGCGAGTTGCTGCAATGGTTTAACCCTTTGCACTTGGATGTCAAGTGTGACTCGACACGGTTAGCAAAAATTAGAGAGATTAAAATTACTCTTTCAATGTATCAATAATTTGAAATATTTTAAAAAATCCAAATAAATAAGTTTGTATGAAAAGAAACTCCAGTTTTTTATTCTACTGCCGTGCTTTGTAAAATCTGGGGTATTTAAAAAATTAAATCCCGAGTAGAATAAAAGAATCGAGAAGAAAAGCAAGCAAGTGCAAAGGGTTAATGTATGTATCCAACAACCTGTCCCCTTAGAAAGAGCTTAGGATGTTAGACTGCTGCAACCCAAAACTGATCCAAAGAGTCGCTTATGTGATAACCCTGTGTCCTTGGGCAGGAGACTACCACCAAAAGCACCCCTAAAGTCACCTTCCTGTGTTAACTCCCTATGAATAACCAAGCTCACTCACCTCACCTGATTACCTGTCACCCAACAGCACACACTCGGCCACGGAAACCAGTGGGCCACCCCTGGCATGCACCAGTCCCAGGGCTACAGGGAGTCCATGGGGCGAAGGTCACATTCCAGCTCCCAGGCCAGATAAAAGCAAGCCCTGCTATCCCCCCTGATAGGAATAAACATCCCTGGCCTGGCTCTAGAATCTGGCTCTCTGTTAAAGGCAGCCTGTTTTCCCCACCTGAATCCCTTGACTCTTGCGGTTAAGCTGGGTGCTAGAGCTGCCTGGGCCCACTGTGGACACATGGATCCCACAAAAGCAGACACGTTGCCTCATGGGAAACCGTGACTCACCACTGGAAGAGAGTGATGCAAGGTTATAAAACCACAAAGACAGACTGGGGGAAGCCAATTCCCATTTTGAGCCAGCATTAGAACAATTAGACTATGGCCTGCTAGTCTGGACACTGATTACAGTGGCAAATAGCTTACAACTCTGTTATGGTAATAGGAAACGGGTAAGTTTTTGAGTGGTTCTTCTGTGGGCATGAGAAGTATCTTATCCCTCATCCTTTCCTCCAGGCGAGTTCTCAGCCTCGGACAGTTCCCTCACTGACGTCCAGGAGACCCGAAGGCAGCCCATGCCTGACCCCGGCCTGATGCCCCTGCCCGACACTGCTGCAGATCTGGATTGGTCCAACCTGGTAGATGCTGCCAAAGCCTATGAGGGTGGGTCTGTTGAAGATCCAGACTAGCCTGGGATCCTTTGGGGCCATCCTGAAGTGTGCTCACAGTGTGATCCAGTCTCTGTCCTCTCTGACAACAGAAGCACTTCACCAGCATTTCAGAAACCAGCTGACAGTTATCGAGGGCTCAGGAGGGGCCAGACCCTAGGCTGGACACTTAGGCACATGTTTTGTTTAATCAGATGCAACCTGGTGTTTCCTCTACATGGGAATTTCATGGCATAAATGCCTCACCTCCTCTGTGTTACTGGAAGGGCAGAGAATAGAGGAATCCCAGCTGTCACTTGACGGAAAAGATAACGTATCCAGCCAGGGTCTTTCATCACATTAAGACGTTGTTGCTAAATGCACAGTCGACCCCCAGTCCTGACGGTGCTGGGTGCTGTCCTTGCCTTTCCCACTCAGCTCTCGTGTACTGCGATTCCTTCGCCACCCACTAGCTAGGCTAATAGTCTTAAATGCAGGTCCTCAAACTGCTGCTGATCCGCTGAAATCAAAACGAAATGCAGTGTGTTGTCATAGGTTTTCAACTGTCCTTTTTTGAGCAAAGACTTTTTTCTAAGATCATTCTAACATTTTTGGTGCTTAAATGTTCTTTATAAAGTTAGGATTGCAGGTGATTGTTTTTATCACTCTTACTTGGGAGCATTGTTCCAATTTGGGGGAAAGTTTGCTAGATAGGCCACAGCAGTCGGGTGACCGTGGAGTAGGCGACAACTCATCCCCATTCCCTCCCTCCATGTTTATTGGGCTCATTGAAGTTCCCCGGTACTAACTTAATTTTTCAGTTTGTTCGTTAATCAGCTTCATATAAAATGGCAGAATTTTCATTTTGTTAATGGGAGATTTTTTTAAAATTTGATTTTGTTTGCTTTGCTTAAATTTTAAGGTGGTATATTTTAAAACACAGGTGGCATGGACGTAGGGTTAAAGCCCACCAGAGTTGCCAGGCATCTCACAGAAAACATTATTCAAAAAGTCTTATGAAGCATAGTAAAAGAGCTTTCTTTAATGCATTTCTGTCATTGCTGTGCCTTGGTCTGGAAATTTGGCACAAGACCTATTTCCAGGGAGAGAGTTAATAGAATGTTGCTTTGATAAGCAAGAGAAAGGGGGAACTGGAAATTGATTCACAGCTTTTATAAAGAGAAATCACCTTTTCTTGCAGGGGTTGGGACGTTAGATTTCCAGCACATCACGGTGCATTAATTACACTTGACTGTCAGTGTAGACCGTCTGCTGACTTTGACAGGGCCCAGGGATGGGATTCCAAAATACTGAACGGTTTCTTATTTCCCTTCCAGTCCAGAGAGCCTCATTTTTTGCTGCTAGTGATGAAAACCATCGTCCCTTGAGTGCTGCATCCAGCGGTGATCAGCTTGAGGACCAGGCTCTGGCCCAGATGAAGTCTTACAGCAGGTTGGTCACCTTATCCGTGGCACCTTCCTTGTGTCACCCCTTCCAGGAACAGCAGACATGGAGAAAAGGAGAGGGAACCCACATGGATTAGCTGAGTGAAGCTCATCACTGCAGTACCAGACACTTCACATTTTAGTTAGAATGCTTTGTAATGAAATACTGTAAACATAATTAAACTGTTCTTGATGGCTTATTAGGTCATAATTATGAATATTCATTATTATTTAATGCCATAGTACATATGCCCTTTGGGCCTATTAGGTCAGGTAAGAGCAGGGCTCCTCAAACTTTTTAAACAGGGGGCCAGTTCAGTCCCTCAGACCGTTGGAGGGCTGGACTATAGTTTAAAAAAAACTATGAACAAATTCCTGTGTACACTGCACATATCTTATTTTGAAATTAAAAAACAAACGGGCAAAAACACCTGCATGTGGCCTGCAGGCCACAGTTTGAGGACACCTGGGTAAGAGAAATCATTGGACTAAATAGTACAGGGCCCAGGATACCTAGTGCAAGTCTTAGGCAGCTCCCAAGGTGTTGCTTCCGGTCTATATGTTAGAAAACTGGATCAACTAGGGTAGTAAAGGTGGTAAAATAAAAAGTAAATAAGCAATAACTGATATCCAGAGGGCTTTCTTTTGAGTTAAGAGCATGAACTTTATGACGTCTGTGTAACTATGCAGCTGCCAATACTTCTATTTTCCCCTTAGTTTCAAATAGTGACATTGTTGAATTTGTGTGTGATAATCCTATATAAAGCATCCCAGTAGTCAACCATGGGACATTTAGTAAGCACTGCTTAATGCAGAATAATTTCATTAATTTGAGGATCTTCCCTTAAAACTTCCTGAAGATGATTAAGAATCCAGGTATTGTCTATTTCTGACCAAGTTTTATAGATATAACAGGAAAAGCAAGGTTGATGTAGATTGCACAAATACGCTGTAGGGCTTGTGCTTGAGGACTCTTTTGAACACGTCTGCAAGGAAGTGCTCCCAGCAGAGAAGGTGCGAGAGTAATGGATTGTTCATTAATGATGTAACAGGTTGATGCCGCACTCCTGCTGGGGTAAGGAGAGCCGCAGTTTGGCTGCTGAGAACTTTAAAAAAAAATTCACAGAGTCAGAGGAGAACCCAATATGTGCCTTCTTATGACGGGGCCTCCAACAAAGAGAAGTCTAGTTTGCTCTTACAGAATCAAGAGATAAGGGTGAAGATTGGCTCTTTTCTGTGTTCAGTGTGGACTGAACAAGCACAAATGGCATTAGACGCATCTTTAAACATCACCAGTGCACTTGCAGACACAGAATGCATTTTGAAGAACCTTTAGACATCAAGATAAACTACTGAGAGTTGCTTCAGCACTGACAGCCTGCAGTGGCTTTGTGAAGGACACAGCTGGTCCCCCACCTGGTTGAGTCTGTCTAGCACTGCCCTATTCAACTCATCTTTGACCTTCAACCCATCTAAAATCTGACCAGCTTGTTGTGCCTGACAGTGCAGTTGTAGATGGCAGATGACTTCTTCCTTTTTAAAATTCATTCTCTGTCAGCTTTTAATTAGCTGCCCTGTCTTAGAAGTTTGGGGGTCATTACCATTCCATCAGGCTTGTTACACTCCACACTACCATGGGTTCCATCTTTTGGGCCTGTCATAGACTTAAAATTAACAGAAGACATCATTGCAGTTCATTTTAGGTCAGGAATTCTAACTTTGATTTTTAAAATAAATAACACCTTTTATTCCATGATCCAAAAAATTCAGAGTCACTTACTTCTTCCCCTTTGGAGGAGGCAGCTACATGTTTTCCCAATAGAAGACTTCAGGTTCTCTATTGTGTGACTCTGAGGTTGCAAGACTTGGCTAGAACTTCTATTCAACATAGTGCTGGAAGTCCCTTGCCAGAGCAATTGGACAAGAGAGGGGAATGTCCAAATAGGGGCAGAAGAGGTCAAACTCTCAACTCTTTGCTGATGATACACTATATCTAGAAAACCCCAAGGATTCAACCAAGAGACTCCTGGACTTGATAAATGAATTCAGTAGAGTCTCAGGATAGAAAATTAATGCATACAAATCAATGGCATTCATATACGCCAGTAACAGTCAAGCTGAAAGTCAAATCAAAGACACAACACCTTTCACAATAGCATCAAGGAAAATTAAATATTGAATATATTTAACAAAGGAGGTGAGATATACGTATAGGGAGAACTGTGAAACACTGAGAAAAATTGCGTAAGATGTGTACAAATGGAAATCCCTACCATGCTCATGGGTTGTTAGAATAAATATTGTTAAAATGTCCATTCTACCTAAAGTGATCTACAGGATTGATACAATCCCTATCAAAATTCCACCATCATTATTTACAGATTTAGAAATAATTCTATGCTTTGTCTGGAACTAGAGAAAATCTCGTATAGCCAAAGCAATCTTAGGCAAAAAGAATAAATTGGGATGCATCAGTCTGCCAGACTTTCAACTTTAGGCTGTAGCAACCAAAACAGCATGGTACTGGCACAAGAACAGAAATATAGACTTTTGAAATAGGATAGAGATCCCAGGTAGAAAACCATCCTCATATTATCATCTAATCTTCAACAAAGCAGACAAAAGTATACATTGGGGAAAAGAATCTCTGTTCAATAAGTGGTGCTGGGAAAAGTGGATATCAAATGCAGAAGATTGAAACTGGAGTCCCATCTCTCACAAAAACCAACTCACAGTGGATAACAGATTTACACCTAAGGCATGAAACCTTAAGAATTCTGGAAGAAAATGTTGGGAAGACTTTTAGACATCTGCCTAGGTGAACTAGGTAAAGAATTTATGAAGATGACTCTCAAAGCAGTTACAGCAGCAACAAAAATAAACAAATGGGACCTGATCAAATTAAAAAGCTTCTGTCAGCTAAGGAAACTATCAATAGAGCAAATAGACAACCTACAGAAGGGGAGAATATATTTGGTTTCTACACATCCGATAAAGGGCTAATATCAAGAATCTATATAGAACTTAAGAAAATCAACAAGAAAAAACTCAACCCCATCAATAAATGAGCAAAGGACATGAACAGAAGCTTTTTTGTTGTTGTTGAGACAGAGTCTCACTTTATTGCCCAGGCTAGAGTGAGTGCCGTGGTGTCAGCCTAGCTCACAGCAACCTCAAACTCCTGGGCTCAAGCAATCCTGCTGCCTCAGTCTCCTGAGTAGCTGGGACTACAGGCATGTGCCACCATGCCCAGCTAATTTTTTCTATATATATTACTTGGCCCATTAATTTATTTCTATTTATAGTAGAAATGGGGTCTTGCTCTTGCTCAGGCTGGTTTCAAACTCCTGACCTCGAGCAATCCACCCGCCTGGGCCTCCTAGAGTGCTAGGATTACAGAGGTGAGCCACCACGCCCAGCCGAACAGAAGCTTTTCAAAAGAAGACAGACTAATGCCAGCAAACATATAAAAAAAGTGCTCAACATCTCTAATTATTAGGGAAATGCAAATCAAAAAACTACAATGAGATATCACCTAATTCCAGTGAGAATGGCCTCTATCAAAAAGTCCCAAAATAACAAATGCTGGCGTGGATGTGGAGAGATTGGAACACTCTTACACTGCTAGTGGGACTGCAAATTAGCACAACCTCTGGAAAGTAATTTGGGGATACCTCAAAGAGCTAAAAACAGGCCGGGCGCTGTGGCTCACGCCTGTAATCCTAGCTCTTGGGAGGCCGAGGCGGGTGGATTGCTCAAGGTCAGGAGTTCAAAACCAGCCTGAGCAAGAGCGAGACCCCGTCTCTACTATAAATAGAAACAAATTAATTGGCCAACTGATATATATATAAAAAATTAGCCGGGCATGGTGGCGCATGCCTGTAGTCCCAGCTACCCGGGAGGCTGAGGCAGAAGGATCACTCGAGCCCAGGAGTTTGAGGTTGCTGTGAGCTAGGCTGACGCCACGGCACTCACTCTAGCCTGGGCAACAAAGCGAGACTCTGTCTCAAAAAAAAAAAAAAAAAGAGCTAAAAACAGAAATACCATTTGATCTAGCCATCCCACTACTAGGCATCTATCCAAAGGAAAAAAAGACATTCTATAATAAACGCATCTGCACTCGAATGTTTATAGCAGCACAATTCACGGTTGCAAAGATCTGGAAACAACCCAAGTGCCCATCAATACTTGAGTAGATTAATAAAATGTGGTATATGTATACCATGGAGTACTACTCAAGTACAAAAAACAATGGTGATGTAGCACCTCTAATGTTTTTTCCTGGATAGAGCTTGAGCCCATCCTTCAAAGTGAGGTATTTCTATCACAAGGATGGAAAAACAAGCACCACATGTACTCACCATCAAATTGGTACTAACTGATCAACACTAAGGTGTTCACATGGTGGTAATACTCTTGGGGTACCAGTTAGGTTGCGGGGGTGGGGGGCAAACCCACAGCTAATGGAAGTGGAGCACACTGTATGGGGGAAAGACACATTTGTAGCCCTGGCTTGGGCGAAGCAAACACATTACATGTAACCAAAATGTTTGTACCCCCATGATATCCTGAATTATAAATAAATAAAATGAAGAATCAGGGTTCTGGCTCTAACAGAGTTTGTTCCTAATTTGAACTAGCTAAATAATAAAGATGGGGAAAAACAAAAAAAAAGACTTGGCTAGAACTCACTCAGGAAACTTGAATTCAGGTAGAGGAGAGTGTGGGGAGAAAAGCTGTCAGAGGCCCTAAGCCTGGCCTAAGCTGCACCATCTGCCCGCCGGCCGGCCGGCCTGCCATGCCTGCTCACACTTCTTTTGGTGCTCCACTGGCATATTATTAGCACTTAAATATGAAAAAAATAAGAAAATTGTTTGCTTATTGTAATACCAGAGAATTTAAGACATGAAGCTTAGACTGACAAGCTTTTGAAACATGTAGTCTTGCTTTTTTTAATACTTTAAGATATTTAGACTAGCGTTTAAGATGTAGGCACAATAACTTAGTTGCAACTACACACATGGCTAAGATTATTTTCTTGGGAACTGGAGACCTACAGTAGCTGGGCAGACCCCACATCAGCCACGAACCTCTCCTCCCTCTCCCCCCCACACACAGAGGAATAGCTCTTCTCTTTTAAAGCCCACTAAAGGATCCCAAAGCTTCTCTGAGCATCATTTTACTGTTTGACAATTGTGTCTGCCAGAAAGTTCCTCTTGTGCTGACAGAGATCATTTTCACTATTGTCCTTTATTCTTTTGTTGTGAGGATGCGGCATCTTTAACAAAGGAAGCTATTGATTGGCTGTAGTTCAAGCTTGTTTTACCTTTTGTTAAGATTAGCAATTACTTTTGTAAAGCAAAAACGCACGTTGGGTCACCATACTGAATAATTTGACATTGAAAACCATTTTACCAATACAGCTTCCTCAGATTTAAAACACACACACACCCCTGGAGACTCCTGCAAACAAGGTCTTTTGTTTCTTGTTCCCAACAGTAAAGATTCCTCTCCCACTCTGGCTTCTAAAGTGGACCAGTTAGAAGGTATGCTGAAGATGCTTCGGGAAGATTTGAAGAAGGTAAACCTCATAGTCGCAAAGCACATTGCCCAGTCTGCACAAACTGCCCTTGAACTGTGAGAGCCCTTTTTAAGTAGAGTTAGTGGAATAAGACGTGGGTGTTTTCCCTGTGTATGCACGTGTTCAGGGGGCTGCAGGGAGCTCAGTTCCCACTGGAACACACAGTGCAAGAAGGCCTTTGTTATCATGTGTACAGAAAAATTGTTCCCTGTTTTGTGAAAGCCTTTGAACCTCAGCCAGCCCCCTCTGAGTCCTCTCCCAGCCTCCCCAGCCCTTGTATAATGTGTCAATAGCCCAGATTCCCAGACAATTGTTGTTATCTGGGCTTTTACACCAAGAGAACTGAATGTTGTTTATTTTCTTGGGTGGCTTTGACTATCCCAAGACAGCACCCACCAGATCAATTGCCTAGAATTTAAGACAGTCCTTATTAACAAAGACTTTAAAATATACATTAATGTATTTAAATCCCAAGCTAATCCTGTAGGGTTGAGTCTCTCCGGAAGCCCTGTTTCCTAGGCCTAGCCTCTCTAGAGTGTCTTGGCACCTGGTCCCAGGCTGTTTATACAGCTGATTAGTGGAATGAAGGAGAGAAATGGGTAAAGGGTGGAAAACATTTTAGAGTTACTGCTCCTAAGAGCTGGGCAATGGTGGGCCATACCTCTTAGTTCTTTCCTACTTTGCTCTGCCTCCTAGGAAAAAGAAGACAAAGCCCACCTCCAGGCAGAAGTTCAGCACTTGCGAGAGGACAACCTGAGGCTACAGGAGGAGTCCCAGAATGCCTCAGACAAGCTGAAGAAGTTCACAGAATGGGTCTTCAACACCATAGACATGAGCTAGGGAAGGCCAAGGTGGGCAGGAGGAGGGCCTGGGCATGCTTTCTCCCGTGAGCGCGTTGGAACGCCTTATTCAGGCCACGGAGAGCATTCTCACAGCTCCCTGCTCTGCCCCCTGTCGGGGAGTGCACAACACGACAATTGCAGATCAACAATCATTGTCTGCCTTTTGTAGAAAAGAAAAACAAAAGTAAATAAAAATTTTAAAAAGTAAAATAAAAGTTTAACTGCTAAAATGTGAATGTCTTTATTTTTTTGCACAATATCTTTATCTGTTATGTATTTAAAGAAGAAACTGGGCCTAGGACCAGGGTGCCCCCTGGCCCATCTGCCTCTATTTCCATCAGCTTTCTTATCTATTTCAGGTAACCCAAGCTTTCCCTTGTTATCCTAATGAATGTCATTGTTCCTAGGAAAATAAAGTTTTTTTAAAAAAACATATTTGTTTGGGGAGTGGAGAGGGCTTCTTACCTTCTTTCCTAAAATGCCTGGAGAGGAAGTTGTTTTGAGAAAATGCCTACCTCCCTTGAATGACTTGTGCATGAGCTAGTGCTGTCTGTATCTGTCTTCCAGAGATCGGCAGGATTGGGGTTATTTACCAGCAAAGTTAGTAAACCAGGGAGAGATGGTGCCTGAGAGCCACACCCCTTTTCAGTCTTGCATTGCGAGGTCACTTCCTGCCTCCTGCCTTTCCCCAGAGAGATGATCCCAGGTGTACTGCTCAGAGCTAGGGCTCTCTTTTGCTTGGCGTAAGTGAGCCCCACTAGATTATAGTCAAGCCTTCTACAGCTTCTGGGCCCCAAACATTAATTGGTTTCAAAATTCTCCCAAACTAAAACCTTATTACTTCATATGCATTTTTAATGCATTTTGATCAAAAGTATATATAGTTTAAGATTTTTAAAGATAAAACTGGGAAAATTTTTTCTTTAGCTTGCTCAAAATGACTATATTAATCAATTAGTAAATCCTTCTCTCCAGAGCAAGATTTCACCAGTATTTGTAACTAGGACAAGCTAACAGTAAATGTTTGTGAATTTTAATCCTTGCTTGTTAGGAGCAATGACTGTGAGAATAGAATGGGCTTTTGAAATCTGCATGTCCCAGTGTGAAATTTGAGCACGGCATTTTCTGCATCCTTTTGTGGCCATCCAAAGGATTCTGCTGCAGAAATTATTGATGTGCTGTATTTTTCCTGTCTTAGTGATGCAGGCTGCTTTGGGCCCCATGGTTCCAAGGCCCTCGCTACCGTAGAGCTCAGAGACACGGGGCTGACCAGTGTTGACTGACCTAAGGAGATTTCCCTTGTATTTTGCCTTCATAATTGTCCAATAACTGACCCCTCTGCCCCTTCAGTGGCAGCTCTGGTCCAAGGGAACATTCAGCAATCTAGCAGCATCTGCTCAGAAGTTCCCTGCCCTGAGTAATCTCCTTCCTTTCCTTTTTCCATCCCTGAAAGCAACAGGATGGATTCTCCTCTCTTCTCCCCTTCACACCCACTACCAGATTTTTAGGCTAGTTTCATTCATGATTGTGATTTCTCCATGGGATTTTTTTTTTTCTAGTGACATTTCTATCATGGAAATAAGAAGATTTCGGAGTGCTTTTGTAAAGATTTCAATTGTCCGTCTCTTTCTCTCTTTGACTTGTATGAAGGAGATTGTACATTGCCTGATATCTCTTTGTAAATGAGAAATATTGCTAACATCCAAGCATTCTGAAGTCTTGCTTATCCTTCTGAGTTTAGTTTTCATTTTGTTTTACATTTTGTTTGGGAACTTGGGGCAAGCTATTTATTAGAGTTTTGCAACAGAGTTCTTGTTTGAAGCCTATAAAGACTACTTGTAAAATTCAAACAATAAAATTCATTTTAAATGCTCTTTTAAAACGCTTTGGTATTATTGCTTGAGGTTTTCTTATTTAAAAGACAACCCAATGACTCATTGACCCTCCCTTGCATCCTAATTTTTTCATCAAGCTCCGTTAACATTAAAGATTTTTCTTGAAAGTTTGTTCTTTTTAGAATTTTATTTACTCCTTGTCCACATGTCTATAGAGAATTCCTATTTTGCCTTCTTCGCTTATGATTTAGTATTTGCAGAGCACTCTGATTAGTTCTCTCTTCATTATCCATGTGTGGGTTTTTCATAGCACTGTCATTCCCTGAGACCAGCACATTTTTGGACTGTCTGCTGCATCTCCCAGCTCTCAATGTCAGATATTGTGTGCTCAGGGAATATAAATGCCTGTTAATATTAGACTGTGCAAAATATAATTAGAAAAGTTAATCTACTGAAAATAAAAATCAATGCATTTCCAAAGTCAAACAGAACCAATTTTTAATCTACCACGTCACTGTTCCTCTCCAGTGGTGCAGCTAATTGGGAGCTGACGGTAGAGTTTCCTCATTTTATTTGGTTCACCAATTCTAGAATTACAAGACTAGGATGAGGCTGGATGCCACAAGATATGCTGATGAACAAGCTAAAAAGGTTTGTTTAGACCATAGTTCTTACATGGTTTGCAGGGGTCATACATTATTTCTGCAGAGCTTGGCACATGGGCTGGCACATGAGTTCCTGGGGAAGGTGCTAGTGGCCGCATTGGTGGGGGGGTCTTCCTCCGTGAGCTGACCTGGGAGGCCACTCAGTTGTGTTCTGGATCTGGGGCAAGTGAATTCAGGTTGGATTTCTAACTTCTCAGCTGGGAAAGAAAGTGATAGTCCATGGGCAAAGGAAACAAGCCCTGCAAACATACGCAATTTGCTTCTAGTTAAATGTAGAACAGTGATCTGAACCCAGGTTTTAATTCCACAGTGCAACATTCAACTATCAACTGCTGGGCTGAGCAAGGTGGCTCACATGCGTGTAATTCTAGTACTTTGGGAGGCCAAAGTGGGAGGATGGCCTGAAGTCAGGAGTTTGAGGCCAGTCTGAGCAAGAGTGAGACCCCATTCTCTACCAAAAAAGAAAAAGAAAAAATAGCTGGTCACAGTGGTACACACTTGTAGTCCCAGCTCCTTTGGGAATCTGAGGCAGAAGGCTCACTTGAGCCCAGGAGTTTGAGGTTGCAGTGAGCTGACACCACTGCACTGTAGGCTGGGTGACAGAGTGAGACCCTATCTCAAAAACAAAACTGTCAGCTGCTGTTTCCCCAACATGAAAAAGATGGAGATTAAAGTGCAACATGGCCAGTCTATGTCTATTTTGTTAAGCGTTCTTATCATAAAAGGGTGCTTAATTTTGTTGAATATTTTTTCTGCATCTACTGAGAGGATCATATGGTCTTTGTTTTTGCTTCTATTTATGTGGTGAATTACATTTATAGATGTTGAACCACCCCTGCATCTCTGGATGATACAAGCCATATATGACAAACCCACAGCCAACATCATACTGAATGGGGAAAAATTGAAAGCATTCCCACTTAGAACTGGAACCAAACAAAGTTGCCCTCTATTACCTCTTCTATTCAACATAGTGCTGGAAGTCCTAGCCAGAGCAATCAGACAAGAGAAGAAAATCAAGGGCATCCAAAAGGGGACAGAAGAGGTCAAACTATCACTCTTTGCTGATGATATGATCTTATACCTAGAAAATCCCAAAGATTCTGCCATGAGACTACTGGAATTGATAAATTCAGCGAAGTCTGAGGTTAGAAAATAAATGTACAGCAATCAATAGCATTCCTATACCCCAACAGCAGTTGGTTTGGTTCTCAAACTGAGAACCAAATCAAAGACACAATACCCTTCACGATAGCAACAAAAAAACAAGTACTTAAGAATATATTTAACTTAGGAGGAAAAGATCTCTATAGGGAGAACTATGAAACACTGAGAAGGGAAATAGAGGATGTAAAAAGGTGGAAAACCATACCATGATCATGGGTCAGCAGAAGCAATATTATTAAAATGTCTATACTGAGATTTCGGGGGGCGGAGCAAGATGGCCGACGAATAACACCGCCAGACAGAGGGTCTCTGCAGAAAAGACAGATTCTAGCAGAAACTAGAGGAAAGAAGCAAGAAGACGAGCATACAGGGCCTATGTGTCTGTTCTTGTGCCAGTAACATGCTGTTTTGGTTACTGTAGCCTTGTTGTATAGCTTGAAGTCTGGTAAATGGATGCCTCCCAATTTGTTCTTTTTACTTAAGATTGCTTTTGCTTTATGGAGTCTTTTCTGGTTTCATTCAAAGTGTAGAATTATTTTTTCTAGATCTGTGAAAAAATGGTGTTGATATTTTAATAGAGAGTGCATTGAATCTGTAGATCACTTTGGGTAGTATAGACATTTTAATAATATTGCTTCTGCTGACCATGATCATGGTATGGTTTTCCACCTTTTTACGTCCTCTATTTCCTTCTCAGTGTTTCATAGTTCTCCCTATAGAGATCTTTTCCTCCTAAGTTAAATATATTCTTAAGTACTTGTTTTTTTGTTGCTATCGTGAAGGGTATTGTGTCTTTGATTTGGTTCTCAGTTTGAGAACCAAACCAACTGCTGTTGGGGTATAGGAATGCTATTGATTGCTGTACATTTATTTTCTAACCTCAGACTTCGCTGAATTTATCAATTCCAGTAGTCTCATGGCAGAATCTTTGGGATTTTCTAGGTATAAGATCATATCATCAGCAAAGAGTGATAGTTTGACCTCTTCTGT